GAAATCAGTTTAGCACCAACACTCTACAATGTCTGATACATGATGACTTATTGAATATCTACTATTATGAGTTGCCTTGGATCCTTTCTTGGTAGATACAGAAAGTATTAATTATATTAATAGAAGTTGTACATTTCACCTGAAAAACATAGGGTTTGGATTTTTAAAATTAACTTAATTTTTTATTTTATTTTATTTTATTTTATTTTTTTGTATTTTATTTTTTTCTTATCAGTTACATTTTATTAACTCTGTACCCCAGCCGTGTCCCGATCCCTCATTCCCTCCCAGTCCCTCCCTCCCTCCCTCCTCTCCACCGTGCCCCTTGCCAAGTCCACTGATAGGGGGGACCTCCTCCCTTAACTAAAGTTTATTCACTTTGTATCCCAGTTATAGCCCCCTCCCTCATCCTCTCCCAATTCCACACTTCCTCCCTCTTCTGCTCCCATGCCCCTCCCCCAGTCCACTGCTAGGAGAGGTCCTCCTCCCCTTCCATCTGACCCTAGCCTAACAGGTCTCATCAGGACTGGCTGCATTGTCTTCCTCTGTGGCCTGGTAAGGCTGCAACCCCATCAGGGGGAGGTGATCAAAGAGCTAGCCACTGAGTTCATGTCAGAGACAGCGCCTGTTCCCCTTACTAGGGAACCCACTTAGAGACTGAGCTGCCATGGACTACATCTGAGCAGGGGTTCTAGATTATCTCCATGCATGGAGTATCAGTCTCAGAAAAGACCCCTGTGCTCTGTTGCTCTCCTTGTGGAGCTCCAGTCTCCTCCAGGTCTTACTATCTCCCCCTTCTTTCATAGGATTCCCTGCACTCTGCCCAAGTTTGGCTATAAGTCTCAGGATCTACTTTGATATGCTGCAGGAGAGAGTCTTTCAGAGTCTCTCTGTGATAGGCTCCTGACCTGTACCCTGTTTTCTCCCTCTTCCGATGTCCATCCCATTTCTCTTTCTGAATGAGGATTGAGCATCTTACCCAGGGTTCTCTTCTTGTTTAGCTTCTTTAGGTGTACAGATTTTAGTATGTTTATCCTATGTTATATATCTAATATCCACTTATAAGTGAGTATATACCACGTGTGTCTTTCTGATTTTGGGATACCTCACTAATGATGATCTTTTCTAGTTCCTACCATTTGCATGCAAATTTCATGATTTCCTTGTTTTTAACAGCTGAGTAGTATTCCATTGTGTAAATGTACCACAATTTCTGTATCCATTCCTCAACTGAGGGGTATCTGGGTTGTTTCCAGTTTCTGGCCATTACAAATAAAGCTGCTATGAACATGGTTGGGAAAATGTCCTTGTGTAGTTGAGCATTTTTTGGATATATGCCTAGGAGTGGAACAGCTGGATCTTGAGGTAGGACTATTCCTAATTGTCTAAGAAAGCACCAGACTGATTTGCAAAGTGGTTGTACAAGTTTACATTCCCACCAGCAGTGGAGGAGGGTTCCCCTTTCACTGGAGGGTTCCTCTCCAACATGTGTTGTCACTTGAGTTTTTGGTCATAGCCATTCTGATGGGTGTAAAATAAAATCTCAAGGTCGTTTTATTTTGCATTTCCCTGATGACTAAGGAGGTTGAGCATTTCTTTAAGTGATTCTCTGCCATTCAATATTCCTCTGTTGATAATTCTCTATTTAGCTCTGTACTCCAGTTTTTAACTGGATTACTTGATTTGTTGCTGTTTAAAGTCTTGAGTTCTTTATATGTTCTGGATATTAGCCCTCTGTCAGATATAGGGCTGGTGAAGATTCTTTCCCAATCTGTAGGCTGTCATTATGTTCTGACAATAGTGTCCTTTGCTTTACAGAATCTTCTCAGTTGCCTTTGGATTTTTTTAACTTTTATTAATTACACTTTATTCACTTCGTATCCCCCCATAAACCCCTTCCCTCCCCCTTCTTCATGCATGACCCTCCCCAAGTCCACTGATAGGGGAAGTCCTCCTCTCCTTCCTTCTGATCCTAGTCTATCAGATCTCATCAGGAGTGGCTGCATTGTCATCTTCTGTGGCCTGGTAAGGCTGCTCCCTCCTTAGGGGGAGGTGATCAAAAAGCAGGCCAATCCGTTTATGTCAGAGGCAGTCCCTCTTCCCATTACTATGGAACCAACTTGGACACTGAACTGCCATGGGCTAAATCTGTGCAGGGGTTCTAGGTTATCTCCATGCATGGTACTTGGTTAGAGTATGAGTCTCTGGAAAGACTCCTGTGTTCAAATTTTCTGATTCTGATGCTCTCCTTGTGGAGCTCTTGTCCTCTCCAGATTATACTATTACCCATAAGATTCCATGCACTGTGCTTAACAGTTGGCCATAAGTCTCAGCATCTGCTTTGATAGTCTGCAAGCAGAGCCTTTCAGAGACCCTCTGTGGCAGGTTTCTAGGTTGTTTCCTGTTTTCTTCTTCTTCTGATGTCCACCCTCTTTGCCTTTCAGGATGGGGATTGAGCATTTAATCAGAGTCTTCACTCTTGATTAGTTTCTTTAGATGTACAAATTTTAGTAGGTTTATCCTATATTATATGTCTATATGAGTGAGTATATACCATGTGTGTCTTTCTGTTTCTGCAATAGCTCATTCAGTATTTTCCTTTCCAGTTCCCACCATTTACCTGCAAATTTCATGATTTCCTCATTTTTCATTGCTGAGTAATACTCCATTGTGTAGATGTACCACAATTTCTGTATTCATTTGAGAGGCATCTGGGTTGTTTCTAGCTTCTGGCTATTACAAATAAAGCTGCTACAAACGTGGTTGAACAAATGTCCTTATTGTGTACTTGAGCTGCTTTTGGATATATGCCTGGATGGTATAGCTGGATCTTGAGGAAGCATTATTCCTAGTTGTCTGAGAAAGTGCCAGATTGATTTCCAGAGTGGTTGTATCAGTTTACATTCCCACCAGCAATGGAGGAGTATTCCCCTTTCTCCACAACCTCTCCAGCATGTGTTGTCACTTGAGTTTTTGATCTTGGCCATTCTGATGGGTGTAAGGTGAAATCTCAGGGTCGTTTTGATCCTTAAAAGAAAAATCCTCAACTTCATATGGAATAACAGGAAATCCAGAATTGCTAAAACAATCCTTTACAATAAAAGATCTTCTGGAGGTATCTCCATCCCTGATCTTAAGCTTTACTATAAAGCAACAGTAATAAAAACTGCATGGTACTGGCAGAGAAACAGAATGGTGGATCAATGGAACCGAACAGAAGACCCAGAAATAAACCCACACACTTACAGACACCTGATATTTGACAAAGATGCCAAAATCATACAATGGAAAAAAGATAACATCTTCAAAAATGGTGCTGGTCTAACTGGATATCTACATGTAGAAAAATGCAAATAGATCTATACTTATCATCCTGCACAAAACTAAATTCCAAGTGGATCCAAGACCTCAACATAAAACTAGACACATTAAATCGGTTAGAAGAAAAAGTAGGGAAAAGCCTAGAACTCATTGGTACAGGAGAAAACTTCCTGAACAGAACACCAACAGCACAGGCTCTAAGAGCAACAATCAATAAATTGGACCTCATGAAACTGAAAAGCTTCTGTAAAGCAAAGGACACTGTCATCAAAACAAAATGACTGCCTACAGATTGGGAAAGAATCTTCACCAACCCTGTATCTGACAGAGGACTAATATCCAGTATATATAAAGAACTAAAGAAGCTGAAAAGCAACAAACCACGTAATCCAATTTAAAAATGGGGAACAGAGCTAAACAGAGAATTCTCGATAGAGGAATATCGAATGGCAGAGAAACACTTAAGGAAATGCTCAACCTCATCAGCCAACAGGGAAATGGTTTGGATTTTTAAAAACAACATTGTTACTAATTCTTTGAAAATTTAATTTCATATACTTTGAACATTTTTACCCTCTCTCCCCAATTACTCCCTAATCAACTTCTCCACGATCCCATCCCTTCTCCCTATTCAAGGTTGAGTCTTGTTTTTTGTTTGTTTGTTTGTTTTTCCTCACTGTTCAGTACTATTTATGTTACCCAACTGCTGAGGCCAGAGGAGCAAAAGCTAAAACTTAGAGTTCCTGGAAGAGCAGTGCAGAGAGCAACACAGACTCTCTAGGTTCTTTTTACAGAGAAAAGAGAACAATTTTGTTTTCTAGTTTGGTATATTTAAAGGAAGAACAGGAGTTACTAGGAGTGCCAGGTCTTATCTACAGCTTTAGAGATCATAAGGTCTCAGAGCTATCATAATTTCCCCCCAAACCCACACCTGCAAGTATTTCCCTTCTGGCTATCATATTGCCAAGTAGTTTTCTACAGAGGTGTGTGTGTGTGTGTGTGTGTGTGTGTGTGTGTGTGTGTGTGTGTG